CGAGGACGTGGTTCAATCACCTAAAGGAATTCCGCAGCGAAGGATCAGGCAACCTAGCAAAAAACATAGATATTGTAGCATAGCCGGTGATTCTTTCTATGGAAGAGAATTAAGAATGGGATTACTGGGAAAATTCTCTGAACACAAAGAAGTGGGCGTGATTGAAACTGAGCTCTTAAGGATTTCATTTCTACACATTCACTTGACCAGTCTACCATTCATTCATCCATTCATTCAATCAATCGTCCACGCAATCTCATTCGTTCGTTCGTTCATCATTCATTCATTTATTCATTCGTTCATTCACTCATTCATTCATTCATTCATTCATTTATTCGTTCATTCACTCATTCATTCATTCATTCATTCATTCATTCATTCACTCATTCAATTCACATTCATTCATTCATTCATTCATCCACTCATTCATTCATTCATTCATTCATTCATTCACTCATTCATTCATATATTCATATACTCATTTGCACATTCTTTTATTAGATTTACTCAGTTACTTATTTCATTCTCATTATACATTCGATTACACACTTATTCCATTCATTCTCTTTGCTCACTCACTTCCATTCTATTCATCTTCTTCATTCGTTACGCTTGTTTGACCCATTTATTTATTGCATTTCCCATTCACACTCATTCATTCACTCATTTTCAATCATGCATTCATTCACTTTCATTCATTCATTCACTCATTCATTCATTCATTCATTCATTCATTCATTCACTATCTTACTTATTTGGACAATCTGTAGAATAACATGTAAACCCAAGACACATTATGCTATGGTAAGTTATTGATTCATGAATCATAATGGTTCATATACGCACCGTGTGTCTTCGGCTCATGATCGAGTGGTAGGAACGTAGATGGCATTCGAGCCATCCTTGTTGACTTCACTGGAATATCATACATACAAATAGAAATAAGAAAAGACAATTTTGGATGAATTCATCAATCATTTCACATGCGAGAAGTTATGTTGTTGAAAGCAAAGTAGACAGAGGAAATTCCAGGAGGAGGAGCAGCTAACCTACCTTTACTACAGATACGAGTAGAATAGTAAGTTCAAGCTGAAATTCTATCCATCTCGATTGTAAAATCAATAGAATATGGAAAAAATTGCGAGTATTCGTAGAACTAGCGTATAGCACTTATGGAATCGTTCGTCCGTTGGAGAGGTTCTGCGTGTCAATTGAGATGCACAAAGAGATTACAATACAGCCGAGTTCTCTCGATATTTGCACAGAAGTTAACCTACCCTTGGAAGAGCTGAGAAGTCGAAGAGAACACATAAATTTTGTTGACATTAGTTTTAAAAGAGTTCAGCTATCGCTTATCGCTTTTTAAGTATTTAGTTTAAATATAAAATATACCAAGCCTCTAAATTTTTAGTAAGATTCGGTCTTTTCAAAAAAATTTCATTACATAAAGTTCTAAAGCTGCTGGTCTCTATAGCCATAATGGACAATGACGT